CTAAAAGCAACCCTAGAACCCTTCCACTGCCAAAAAATATCTTTAAAAGACTAGTTTTCCTTGTTTACTTGCGTTTCCTGCTCTCCTCTTTGCTCGGCCACATTTGATCTTGGAAAGAGCTTGAAGCTGAAATGTGTTCTTAAGGGCCAGAAGCTGTCAAGGCTTTTGGTGAGCAAGATTGATCGTGCCCAGACTTCCTTCAGAGCTTTGTTTGGAATAAAAGCAAGAAAACTGAAAAACCTCACATTTTCCAAAATAGCATCTCTATCTGTAATGCAATGCCTCTTGGCTAGTTGAGGTTGGAGGCCACTTTAATATCTCATTTCCAACCCAAACCCCCTCTGATGCTGGCCTCAGAGACAGAGTTCTGCCCTTGCTCCTTGGTCAGCCTTTCTTGTTTTCTACGAAGATTTTTCTCCCCCACCAACCTCTCTCTCCTTGGCCATCAGAATGATTTATTTTCCTGCCACTGATGCCTGCCGGCCTAGGGGAGTCTGATCACTTGGTCCATTTCAAAGAAAGCAAAAGCGAATCACCATCCTCAGGGTTGGGGGGGGGGTGGGGAGAAGTACCTTCAGACCTCTCTCTCTCCTCTCTCTCCTCTCCCCCCCCCCTCTATCTCTCTATCTCTGCCTCATGCCCTCTTTTTGGCTTGGTGGGCTTTTTTTTTTTTTTTAAGTTGTCATTTGGTACCTAAAGGTGTTATCTTTTCAACCCCCCAGCACTGTCCAAGACACACACAGTTTCAAGTACTGGAATTGAAAAAGAGAGACAAGGAAGGAGAAGGAAAACCTGTATAATCCCTCCTTGGGACACCCGGCTCTTTCCCACAGTGCTCTTTCCCACAACAGAACCCGGGTGCAAACCTCCCTGGTGTCCAAGGAGTAGGAAGGTGTGGGAAGCAATTCAGGCTGCCAAGGAACACTCCTACATCTGAACCAACCAGCCCCCAACCAGAGCGACAAGGACAAGGAAAGAAGGGTAGGGGGAAAGAGAGAGGAACAAACGTCTTCTCCCTCGCTTCTGGTAACTTCCAACAGACTTCCTGGAAATCGGAAATACTCACCGCACCCGAGCCATAAGGGTATGAAACCCAGAATGCCAGAAGCCGCACTCGCCAGCTCGGGGCGGCATTTCTTTGGCTGGCCGCCGCCCTGGCTACGGGGATTTGGACACATGGACCTGGGGTTGCTGTCTCGCTTGGCACGTGCATCTGTTTTCTCCAGCCACTCCTGAGAAGTTGATGGCGCAGGAAGGTCGGGAAGCTTCGAGAGCCGCCTCCCGTTTTCCGCTTCCCCCTGGAGCCAGATGCAAAGCTGCGGTGGAAAAGCCGGCTAACAATGGGGCCCGGGGGCGCGGATTCCAGGCTGGACATTGAGAATGGGGCGAGGGACTATGGGATGGGGGGAGCGAACAGACAGAAGAGAGTGGGAGGGGAAACGGGTGGAGAGAGAGAGAGAGAGAGAGAGAGAGAGAGAGAGAGAGAGAGAGAGATCAGTTCTGAGATCCAAGAACTGGTTTTTAGGAAAAGTAGAGGATAGGGAAATAAAAGGATTGCCCCCCAAATCTTTTTTCTTTCTTTTCTGTCTTCTTTCTTTCTCCTTCTCTCTCTCTCTCCTTCTCTTCCTGTCCCTTCCACTGTCTTTCTTCTCCATCTCCCAACTCTTCTTTCCCTCTGCTCTTTCCTCCGGTCTTAGCAGAACTTATGTGGCTGGGATGCGGGGGCCCTCGGGTGTCAAAACTTTGAAGATTAATGGATTACTTTGTTAATGACTGCAGGCGTCAGACTGAGGTGCTTAAATGATTTGTGAGGTGCGAGGCGTCTTCCCGACAATCCCAAACAATGCGCGGAGTGTGCGGGGGAGGCAGAGGGCAGCCGCTGGCGGGACCGGCAGCCAGGCTCACACTCGCACTCACTCATACACTCAGACACACTCCCAGGCGCACACACCGATTCCTTGCTGAGCAGGAGTAAGGCAGGCACCCTCGTCCCGCACTCACTCTCGGGCATTCCCACCCACATCCACATATATATATATATATATATTTTGTCCTGAAAAAAGTGTAAATAAAGCCTCACTGGCCCCCAATGAGGCGTTCCTTCCCGACTTTTTTGGATCAATCAAACAGACAGTGGCTTCTTTTGATTAAAGCCCAAATTGTCATTGGGCAGAAGCAATCATGTGACAGCCAATTCGGTCCAATTTCAACCTTGTCTCCATGAATTCAATAGTTTAATAGTAGCGCGGTCCCCATACGGCTGTAATCAGTGAATTAGAAAAAAAACACCCCAGCAGCGATCTTCTATGATAGATTTTTTTTTCCTCCGCGCTCGCCTTTTTCCTGGGCCTCGCCCCCCCAAAGCCCCTCCAAAAGAGGGAACTTTTTCTCCGAGGGGGCTCCAAGGAGAAGGCCATGAATTACGAATTTGAGCGAGAGATTGGTTTTATCAATAGCCAGCCGTCGCTCGCTGAGTGCCTGACATCTTTTCCCCCTGTCGCTGATACATTTCAAAGTTCATCAATCAAGACCTCGACGCTTTCACACTCGACACTGATTCCTCCTCCTTTTGAGCAGACCATTCCCAGCCTGAACCCGGGCAGTCACCCTCGCCACGGCGCTGGCGGCCGCCCCAAGCCGAGCCCCGCGGGCAGTCGCGGCAGCCCGGTGCCCGCTGGCGCCTTGCAACCTCCCGAGTACCCCTGGATGAAGGAGAAGAAGGCGGCCAAGAAAACCGCGCTGCCGCCGGCTGCCGCCGCTGCCGCCACCACCACTGGCCCTGCCTGCCTCAGCCACAAAGGTCAGTCCCAAGACTTGGCCCCAGGTCCCCAGGACCCTGTTCCCCCTCCGGGCTGCCCCGAGAGCGGTTATGGGGGAGGGGAGCATGGGATAGCAGCGAATGGGGAGAGGGACAGATGCCTGGTTGCCTTTCCTTGCCCCCTTGGGTTCAGGAATGGGCTTGATGGAGAGGAGAAGAGATCCTGTGCTCCACAATGAGACATATATATTTTTAGGGAGGGAGGGGGAAACTTTCCCTAACTTGTGTAATGTGGGATGATTTATTTGAGTTGGAACTGACCTCCTCTTGTCTAGTTGTCCTAGAGTTTGGCTTTTTGACAGTAATGAAGAGTGATAGATCGCTCTTGCTCAGCTAAGCAGCTGATGCATTAATTATAAATTGTGTTGTGGCTAATATAAAGTTTGCTCCCGGATGAAGAGGTTGGGGGGAGCTACAGGCAGGAATTTGATAGAGGTGGAGGAGATGGGGTTTCCCGGGGCTGAGCTCCCAGGAAAGGCAGCACAATAGCTCTACTGCATCCAGGGCGGCCATTTTGTTGCAGTTGATCTTTTCTGCTATATTTATTCTCCAGTGGAATAATCCCTCTTGGACCCCTCCACCTCCAACTGTGCGTGTGTCTCTTGTTGGTTTCCCTTTCCGCAGAATCCCTGGAAATCGCCGATGGCAGCGGCGGGGGATCGCGGCGCCTGAGAACTGCTTACACTAACACGCAGCTTTTAGAGCTGGAGAAAGAATTTCATTTCAACAAGTACCTTTGCAGACCCCGAAGGGTGGAGATTGCCGCGCTGCTGGATTTGACTGAGAGACAAGTGAAAGTGTGGTTTCAGAACCGAAGGATGAAGCACAAGAGACAGACCCAGTGCAAGGAAAACCAAAACAGTGAAGGGAAATTTAAAAGCCTTGAGGACTCAGAGAAAGTAGAGGAGGACGAAGAAGAGAAGTCCCTCTTTGAGCAAGCCCTCAGCGTCTCCGGGGCCCTTCTGGAGAGGGAAGGTTACACTTTTCAGCAAAATGCCCTCTCGCAACAGCAGGCTCCCAATGGACACAATGGCGACTCCCAAAGTTTCCCAGTTTCGCCTTTAACCAGCAATGAGAAAAATCTGAAACATTTTCAGCACCAGTCACCCACTGTTCCTAACTGCTTGTCAACAATGGGCCAGAACTGTGGAGCTGGCCTAAACAATGACAGTCCCGAGGCCCTCGAGGTCCCCTCTTTGCAGGACTTTAACGTTTTCTCCACAGATTCTTGCCTGCAGCTTTCAGATGCAGTCTCACCCAGTTTGCCAGGTTCCCTCGACAGTCCTGTAGATATTTCAGCTGACAGCTTTGACTTTTTTACAGACACACTCACCACAATTGACTTGCAGCATCTGAATTACTAAAAACATTAAAGCAAAAACAAAGCATCACAAAACAAAAACCCCCTGACCAGGTGGTTTTGCCTTCTTTTATTCCGGGAGTTGATTTTTATTTTATTTTCTTCTTGACCTACCCCCTTACTTCTTTAATGTTGAGCATTTTGTTTAGTGATTCCCTGATTCAGTTTCAGAGTCATCTCTTACAGATTACATTGGAGTTTTAGTTGTTTTAAACCTCACCTAACAATCATTTGTGTGGTTTTCCTGAAAGCAATATATGAGGCCTGCAAGAAAGTGATTAGAAATTGTATCATCACTTTCTTTTTATTTTTGTATTACATTAGGATGCATTGTCATGCGTATTTTTGGTAGAATAAATTCTCCTTTGCTATAAGTAGCTTTATTTTTTTCTCCCCCTCTTTCTCAAGGATCATAGTGGTTTCTTTTTTCTTCTTTTAGTCTAACTTGGTAAATAAAATTCTGGTCACAATTTATCTTCTTTTTCAATTTTAATATATTTATTAATGTGGCATGTTCAAAGTCTTCAATAGACCGCAACAAATAAAGCCAGAAAATGGCTAGGGCTTCTGACAAGTACTTTTTGTTTTTAGGGTTTTTTTTTCCTTTCTTTTCTTTTTTCTTTTTCTTTTTTGGAAGGGAATGGATTTGGCTTTCAGTGTAGTGGCTCAAGCCATAAATTTAAATTAGTAGTAGAAACAGGATTGGGCAGCCTAAGAGTTGGGCAAGCTCAAGCTTTTGAAGGTGGAGAAATAAAGTGCCTACTGAAACCCCAGCTCTAGGAATGAGCAACTCTGGGTTTCTTTAACAAGCTACCAGGTCAATAAGTTATCAACAATTCATTTATTTATACACATTGGTTCCAAACATCTACATTCCAACCCCTCCCCCACAAATCCCCCGTACATTTTCAGAGTGGTTGATTAATCTCCCAGCTGTTGATAGGTTCAGGCAAAACAGACCTAAAAGATAGAGAAAAACAATAAAACAAAATAATGGTTACTAGCTGGAAAATGCACTTCGGGAAAGACTCTTTCTAATTGTCTGGTCCAGTCATTCTAGGATACTCCCCCCTCCCCCCACATCCAGGGTCAGAAAAATCAATATTTCATTCTTAAATCTGTTTACATTGCTAATAATGGATCATTAAAGCTTTGAAGTCAGGTTAGCAAGTTGAGATTTAAAATGAAGTGCTTCTGCACCCTAGGTTATAAAGTAACCCAGTTAGGCAAAGAAAGAGAAAAAGCACTTTAAATGAAATATCAATAAAATATGACCTAGGGTGTGTTTGGGGGCTGTTCTGTTTTTTTCCAGTTTTTATGTCTCCCCATGTTTATTTTTCCCTTTCTGTGCTCTTCTATGGGCTACTTACCGTGAGAAAGCGCAGCAACATGTGTGTTGGGCCGGTTGATTTAAGAACCCTGCTCTTAACAGCAAAGGCTTGGAAGTTAGAATAAAATCGCGATCTTTCCTCATGGGTTTGCTCCCTACTTTCTGTCACCTCTTCACCCGCTAAATCCCAGCAGCAGCAGCAGCAGCAGCATCAGCAGCGGCGGCGGCGGCGGCGGCCTGTGGCGTTTGTGGCCGGCTTCCGGACCTAGGCTCAGGCTTAGCGCCGAGCAGGGCGTCCGGGCTGCGGCCAGGGCTGCGCCGCTCCTGGATGCGATTCGTCCTAAGCTCATAAATCAAACGCTTTCTATGAATGAGAATGTCATCAAAGAGATCAATTGCAGGAACACATGCACAAATAAAAATCCTCTTACGTATTTGCCGGGGATCCCCGTCCGAAAGCATTAAGTTAGAAGGCATTCAGTCATAATTCATTTTTATTGCTCTTTTAAAACAACAGCTTGGCTGAGCCGCGGATGCCATGAACGGCTCCGGGGCCTCGGCGGCGTTTTGTCTCCTCCTCGCTCTTTCTCTTTCTAGAAGAGCCCCGAAAGAGGCGTTTTGAGCAGAGGCAGATACTTGCAGGCGATTATTTTAATCGTAACCAAGCTCGCCTTTCACCCACTCTCCTGAGGCATTTAAAGAGACTTTAGCTGAGTCCTGGGTCACTGGCCTACATGCCCAGAGGACCAAGGGTCTCTTATACAGCAGAATGGCTCCCACGATTCCTGGGGGTGGGGTAGTGGTGGTGTGGAGGCTGGGGAAGGATCGGAGCTACCGAAGCCTAGCCTACGGGCTGGATGCCGCGGGAGGCTGCCTTTGTGAGCCACTCCAGGAGAGCGGCACTCGGGGGGACCAGCCGAGGCAGAGCCAGCCTGCGGGAGCTGGAGCAGTGCGAAGAGGTGGGATGGCAGTTGGCCTGTATGTATGCAGGCTTGTGTGGCAGTGCGAATTTGTGATCCAAAGGAAAACACCCCATGCAGGTTCCCCTGAAAACAGGCCAGGAGAAAGAGAGGTGGAGGGAGAGAAAAGACAGCGGCTGAGGCTGAAGGCGGCTTTGTGCAGGCGAACTACAACCGGCCGGGAGGATATTGCAAACCAGAGCAGAGGAAGCCCACAAAGAAGGTATAGGAAGGAGGCAAGCGGGCAGAGGGCCTGGATCTCCCTCACTGCCAGCACTGACCCTCTTACATCCTGTCCCCTGCCCAACAAGACCCCCTTGTTTCCCCAACCCTGGCGATCCCAAGGAGGCTATCTCCAAGAGGGTCTCCTTGTCTATCCCCTTCTGCAGGATGAGGATCCCTAGGAGCTGAAACTGGGGTAGGGGAACTTTTGGAGCTCTTCCTCTTTCCATGCTTGGGGTGGGTCAAAGGTCATAGGAAAATACCGTTCCAAAAGGAAATGTTTGGGAAAATGTTTCATTGCTACTGAGAGAATTCAGAGTAAAAGGTCTACAGAAATTTTCCCTCTTGTGGGGACAGGTTTTTGGAGAACTTCTTTATGAGAACTGAACACAGATATATGTAAGGATGACTAACACATTTGAAATGTGCCTGCCTAGAGAAAAACTTCCTTTCTTTTAATGTAGAAAAGGAGGACATGGGAACCCCAAACCCACCTATAATCCTCACTATTAATTTCATCTATCCGATCCAATGTCACAAACATGTCAAAGTAAAATCTATGCAGCTTTGGTTGTAAAGCTTCTTAGATGATCTCTGGACTTCTCCTGCTTAAGAATGCATCAGTTCTCGGTCTCTGCTTGGCATTTTTTCTCCACAAGCCCGAGGTTGACATGAAACCTAATAGTAAACAGCAATTAAAGACTCCAGCAGCATCAATATAGGACTAGGGTGAGGGAGACCAGGACCCCTGGCCTGGGGTGACGCACGTATCTCTCTATGGAAAGACTTGAAAGTTCACTCAAGCAACTATACAGTCCGTTGGAAAGGGGAGGAGATGTTGGGGAAGAGGGAACTGTCCCATTCACCCTCAGCCATCTGTCCACCGCCTCTCCCACCTGCCAGCCCCGACCTCCACTCCAGACGTGCAGTAGATGGGGTGAGGTGGAAAGTGGAGGCAGTCCTAACATCCCCCTCCAGAAAAAGAAACAGGGAAAGTTCGGAATGTTTGTAGGAATTGCGTTCCGGCCTTCCAAGCGCTAAAGATTGCACGCAGGCTCCCAAGTCCTTAAGAGCCAGCAGATGGCCTGCAGCTCAAGGCCCGGCCCCCACGCTGGCCACGTTTGATAGCGTCATCCCCCTCCCCCTTCTCCTACCCCCTCAAACTCCAGCAGTGGAGTTGCTTCGGATCTCAGAGGGCTCCCCTAGCAAAGCTGAGTGGGGAGGAGAAAGGGGCGGAGAGCAAGGAAAGAGGGAGGGCAGAGAAGAGCCCAGCAACCCCGGCCTTTTCCAGCAAGCTTGGTTTCAAGGGCTCAGTAGTCCCTGGGGATCGAATTACATAGGCTCCTCATGGCCATGCTAATGATGACCGGGGGTTGGAAAAGAAGGCTGGGGAGACCCTCCTTGGAGGAGGGAAGTTTCTTTTCTTGCTCTCGTACCTTCCATTCCCACCCGGGTTCCCCGCAGTCAGTTCTTGGCACACTACCTTCTCCATTCCGAGCTTGGAGAGCTAGTGGCCTAGCCTCGCCCTCCTCCAGCGTTCTTCGAGCTCTTTACGGCCCCACGGCCTCACAGCCCAGATTGTACGGTGGAATTACCCTGGAACTCGGGCGCGGTTACGACTGGATTCCCACCCTTCCTGCTCCGCGCTCTCTGGACTGGGCCGAGGTACTTGCGGCCACCCAGCGAGCTCTAGCCCACGGATTCCCACCCAGGGGAGCCAGGAGCCCTCTTCCCTTCTCACCTCTTGCCAGTTCATCTTTCTGAGCGTGATGGGGAGGGGGCGGAGGCGGGGGATGCCTCCCAGCTCCCACCTCTTGGGGGGAGGGGGGTGAGCGGAGTCGGGAGCGCGCAGAAGGCAGCCTCTGCTCCCTTCGCCCCAGCGCTCGGAATCTGTCGTTGCAGCCGCTGCAGCTGCTGCCGCCGCCTGGGCTGCCTGGGGGGGCTGCTGCGCGTCACCTAGATAGAGGAGCGCCGGGGATTTAAATGCCACTGAAACGGTGATCCATCACCGCCAGAGCCAGCAAACTTTAGCAGGAGGCTTAGCCATTGGCTGGCGAAATCACGTGCCCATCCCTAGAGCCCTCCGCCCTCTAGCCCCCCCTCGTGCGCACTGTACATTCATATCATTTTTCTTCTCCGGCCCCATGGAGGAAGTGAGAAAGTTGGCAGGATCACCCAGGGCTTCGCAGGACCCGGTCGCTCAGTGACAGATGGACAATGCAAGAATGAGCTCCTTCCTGGAATACCCTATACTTAGCAGTGGTGATTCGGCGACCTGCTCAGCGCGAGCCTACCCCTCCGATCATGGGATTACAACTTTCCAGTCGTGTGCGGTCAGTGCCAACAGCTGCAGCGGCGACGACCGCTTTCTTGTGGGCAGGGGTGTGCAGATCAGCTCGCCACACCACCATCACCACCACCACCACCACCACCACCACCCCCAGCCGGCCACTTACCAGACTTCTGGGAACCTGGGGGTGTCCTACTCCCACTCGGGTTGTGGTCCAAGCTATGGCGCGCAGAACTTCGGTGCGCCTTACGGCCCCTATGGGTTAAATCAGGAAGCAGACGTAAGTGGTGGGTACTCCCCGTGCGCTTCCGCTGTTTACTCTGGAAATCTCTCATCTCCCATGGTCCAGCATCACCACCACCACCAGGGTTATGCTGGGGGCACGGTGGGCTCGCCTCAGTACATTCACCACTCATATGGACAAGAGCACCAGAGCCTGACCCTGGCCACGTATAATAACTCCTTGTCCCCTCTCCACGCCAGCCACCAAGAAGCCTGTCGCTCCCCTGCGTCGGAGACGTCTTCTCCAGCGCAGACCTTTGACTGGATGAAAGTCAAAAGAAATCCTCCCAAAACAGGTCAGTCCTGCCGACAAGTGGATGAGTCTTGATGAGCTGTTCACTTAGTTTCCGAAGAAATTTAATAATGATTTTTTAGAAAGCTTCTTGCTTTCGACTCGCGCTGTAGGGTGTGGGAAGAGTGTACCAGGTGTGTTGGGGCAAAGGAGTCTTTCATACTGTTGTATTTTCAAATGGGCTGAGGCTGATTTAAGTGTTCTGGAAGTAGGAAGCCTGTGTGTGCATGTGTGTGTTGGGGGCGGGGGAGTGTTGGTGGTGATGGTGTTGTTAATATCTCCAGACTTCATTAATCATGGGTCTGACCAAGCTAATGGCTGACTTCAGGTTAACATTTTACACCTCATCATTCACACTCCTCAGCTGGGTTGGTGTGGAGAAGTTCTTGATCTACCCCCTGAGTGTTGCTCTGAAGCGTGTAGAGGATCTCTTATCAATTTTAGAATTTTTACCTTTTCCTCTAATGGATTCCTACTTTACCTCAGGGAAAGTTGGAGAGTATGGCTACGTGGGTCAACCCAACGCAGTGCGCACCAACTTCACCACCAAGCAGCTCACGGAGCTGGAGAAGGAATTCCACTTCAACAAGTACCTGACGCGTGCCCGCAGGGTGGAGATCGCCGCTTCTCTGCAGCTCAATGAGACCCAGGTGAAGATCTGGTTTCAGAATCGCCGAATGAAGCAGAAGAAACGTGAAAAGGAAGGGCTGTTGCCCATCTCTCCTGCTACCCCACCTGGAAGCGACGAAAAGACCGAGGAATCCTCGGAAAAGTCCAGCTCCTCACCCTGCGTTCCTTCTCCGGGGTCTTCTACCTCAGACACTCTGACTACCTCCCACTGAAGGCCACCCTCGCCCCTAACTCCACAGCCCAGACTTCTCCTGGGGCTGGGATTTCTTACCCAAAGCACATTCTTAGCTTATCTTCCTTTCCACTTACTGTCTCTCTTTCTGATCCTATCTGGGGAGCTCCTGGCCAGGATAATGTGTTTCCAGAAAACTCTAGACCAGAAACTTGCTGAGGGGTTAACTCCTTAGTAGTCCTGATTTGGTGCCAGCATTAATTTCTGATGGCCCCTTGCATTCCTCCCTGATTTTAAGAGATTTTCATAGAAACAACTGTTTCTTTCAGTTGCCCTTTGGAAACTAGGGTCTCCTTGCCTGCAGAAACATGCCAGAGGGAGGCATTTCACCTCTTGTCTAACTATGTATTTACAGTTCTCCCCTACCTTGCCCTTAAAAGTAGAATCTAGAGGAAGGGTGTCCAGGAGCTCATGATGAAGACATGCACTATGAGTGTGTTTACACAATTAATTCATCCCTTAATTTAATTCAGTTTCATGTGTATGAGTTTGCTGGTTGTAAATACTTTGTCTTGAGAGATTTATCTTTATACAAATTTTCTAGAAATGTTTAGAATTAGGTGACTAAATCAGACAGGGTGGGCAAACTCTCAAAAGGGGTACAATTTTTTATGTGATTATAGGTGAAGAATAAATTCCCTCATTTAAATCCCATCAGATGCCTCAGAAGGTAGTCTCAATTTGTTCCTTTAGTGAGTTAAGAAGGCCTGTAGGGCACAAGGCTCAGAAACCTTGGTTTCCTGTGCTAAGTCTCTCCCCAACCCTACCCCTTTCTTCTCATTCTTCTGGCCAACCTGCCAATTAAAATTTGTGCTGGATTATTTGGAACCTAAAGGTATTGCTCAAATCAACTTCTTCCTTCCACAGTTACTTTAGCTGGATATGATGTATTTTCAGCTGAATTGTTAATGTGATGGATGGCACAATGAATGTATATTTTGTGTGATTCGTGAATAGTCTTTTGCATGTCGCACAATGTTTTGATGTCCCTGAAGTACCATACTGAGTTCTATCAGTTATTCTTTGTGAGCCTACAATATTCCCCATTTCCTGTACAATCATGAACAGCTCTGAGATCCTGGAGTGATATGATCCAGAGCAGAGTTTACGGGTCTTAAGATGTCTGTAATAAATATATTCAAGTTTCAGGTATGCTTAAGCATATGTGTCTCACAGGGCTACAATTTGTTGCTTCCTACAAAGTTGACTCATTTCATGTGGGAAGAAAAGAAGGGTGGTGTGGATTTTCAAAGAAATGGGCCTTTTCTTGAATAAAAGTGAATGCTTTTCATTATCATGTAGCTGAAGCTTGCCCTATGAGTGTAATTTCACTTAATCAATGTCTGTTTGATACCTTGAGTCTCTTCAAAGTAACAGCAGCTCTTTTATTATAATCAAAGTTCATAATGGGAAAAAAAGAATGGTGAAGAAATTTATGAAGCAGATCTATTTTTGAAACAAACATGGATACTTCCTGGGTCAAGTGCTAACCTTTTCACCTCCAACTGAACATTGACATATATATAAACAGAGCCCCCTTCAAAAGCTGAAACTGTCTTCAGTCAGTCTTTCCTCACATCAGTGAACCAAGAGGGAAGAGATTCATATTTAATTAGCTCTGGTATAAAGCTGCTGTGAAAATGGGGCCCACCCCATCCCTCTTCCTCCTTTCTGATTGTCAGGCAGTGTTTCAATATATTTCACCCATTTAATTGAGTGTGGTATGTTTTCAGTAAACCCTTGCTCCCTCCCTCATTCTTCCTGTCAACATCTATCCTTCCTGGCTCACCCCCATCTCTGGGTTGCACATCTCATTTCCTTCAGACTCAGTTTTGAGTTCATAGCCATCTTGGCTGTAAAGAGTCCACGCCACATAACCCAGAAAACAATATTTATTTTCTTCTCTGGTCTCAACAGTTTCTTCCACTGTTCTTGTTGAAAGCCACTCTGAAGCCTTGCCATATTGAAGTTACTTCTGACCAAGTCATGAATTGACCTCAAACAGAGAAAGCCAGCAAGCTAGAGTTCAAAGTGGCAATCCTCCTAGACTTCTTGCCACTTTTCCCTTACTTTCACACATTTTTGGAGGCTTTAATTGAGTCCCATGAGCAGAACAGAACATTTACAGCATTACAAACAAATACAGACACATGACTTCCTTCCTCCTCAAAGGATGTTTTAAAAGGATGGGCTGAGGAGAAAACCCTACAAATATCTGGAATTTGCAGGCCTCTAGAGCACCCGTGAGATTTCCTGCACTTTCCTGCTAAAGGGGGAAAGCCTGGACTTCGAAGGCACAGTTGCTGCGGCCACATCAAGGGCACCGGGTGCTTTTCCTCAGCTGCTGGGTTCTGAGGCTGCCTCTAAAAAGATTCAAGTGGATGAAGGAGAACTTCAAAGACAGCCTTTCTTTCATTTCCCGCCTAGCCTTGTACTGTATCTTTTGTTTATTAGTGTAAGGCCACACAGCAAAACAGATGGCTGGTTTCCAAATACTTTAATGTGTTAAGTTTCATTTGCATGCTAGTGTCTTGATTTCAATATCTAAAGGCAGGGCCCGACCCACCGAAATCCAGAGATTCCAATCTTCAAGGTTCTGGTTTTAATGTAGCCGAGAGAGAGGAGAACGATAAATTGTGGCTAAACATCTCTAGCCTTCTCTAGGTCGTGGAATAAATCAGTTAACAAGCAATGCATTTAGGAAACATTAATACACCTTTCAACAAGGAAAACATTTGTATCTTTTTAGCTGTCCCAATCGATTAAATCAAAGGCGCTTAACACATTCTACTTCAAGGTCTCTCTTTTTCTGTTTTGGTCTCTGAGGAGTGCAGTTAGATTCTTGAAAAATAACAGTAATTCTAACTGAAATGACAGAAAGAGGGAAACAGAAAATAACATTATATTGACACGTTTGAAAAGAAAACAAGGGTCTCAGTTAAGGACCCAGGATAACTGCAATATAAAAATCATTTCCAAATGCTTTATTTCCCACCTCCTTGACATTCATCCAAAGTACTCCTGAAATTCAGGGTGTCTCCATACTAGGCTGAATGGAGGTCTTGCTGTGACTCTGAAGTCTGCTCTGGGCTTCACCTTTGAAAGTTTACTTTTGGAGGCTATTCAGATGCGGTGGTGTTTTCCTCTGGGGCAATCAGATTCAAACCGATCAATATTTACTCAGTCTGAAAGGGTTGTTGAAAAGGCTGCTAACAACAAACTGCTTAGCTGCTCACCC